AAAAAAAATCAATACCTCTTCATTTTCATAAACCGTGATTTTGCCGTGAACACGTCACCACTAAATACAAAACTATAAGCAAATGGGCACATTTTGCCAATTAAGTTGGATGTTTAATATTTCAAAGTTCAAATCATAATAATACATATTATATCACGAAAGAAAGTGACTCTTAATCGCAAAGCAATGTGTCGTTTGAAACTGTAAATCTCTCAGACACGAAACAATTTGACAATCTGGTACAAAATGAATGAATTACAAATGTTTCGTTGCCACAAATGACACAGCTAAACAAAAACAAATTCATTGTGCGACATCGTGCACATTCACTCACAAACACACACACACACACAAACCTATGGCTATTGAAAATTATTTTTAAACATTGTATAGCAAACAGAAGGAGAAAAGAACAACAACCAGAACTGGGTTAAGAGTTATGGAAACACACATTTTGTCATATATACGTGTTTGAATGTTCAAACCGTGTGAATAGATATTTCACAATGAAGCGATAGGCATAAATTAATGACAAATAATTATAATAAAACAAAAAAAAACTTACAAAATGGTGTTGGCTTTTAATGTTTGTTCTTTCTATCTGCGAAAATAAAAGCAAATTAGATATAGAAATATCGAGAGTGCGTTTTTTTGATTATAAATCAAAAAGTAATCAAATTGAATTCAATTCGCTAATAAATCACTGGAACAAGCACATTCAATAAGCACAATGTCTTTTTTTCCAAAAAGAAAAAAAAGAGCAACCAATTTGTAATTTGCAATAAAACCATGTTGAATACGTTTGAACGTTTTGCATTTGTATGCATTGCGCTAATGTGTGATGCGATGGGCGACAAGTTTAGAAAGGATACTTGAAACTAACTAGATGGTATTACGAGTTGGGTAATGCTGCAAATCACATTTAAAAAGACACAACAAATAAAAACAACCATTACACACATTAATTCATACAATTCTGATAAGTGTGACTATATGAAAATGATTAAGCTAATAAATTACTACAACTAAATTAGAAAAAATCCGAAATATATTATAAACAATTAACAACAGAAACCAAGAATTATTATTATGATTATTATTATATACAAAAATTACTATATACACATTACAAAATAAAGAGAAAACAAAGCAAATTACAATTGATCATGGTCGTTTCATTTGTGTTCACATTTTCGTCCCGATTTTATCTAAAGATTGGTATTATGGAAGAGTAGTGTCGATGCAACAATTTGTACTCAAATAGATTAGCTATAGCTATATCAGTGCTATTTTCACAGCTCCTATTCATAGGCGCTTTTTGCGACTTTATGATACAATTCCGAAAGAAATGTTCCAAATGTAAATAGAACAATAGACCTATTGATTTTAGTATTTTTTTGCATAAACAAATCAATAGGTCTATTGTCCAGAATTGTATCATAAAATTGCTGTCCGTATGCGTTGTTCACAAATAGCACCTATGAATAGGAGCTGTGAAAATAGGAGCTGTAGCCCAATCTATTCACTGGTACTCAATAATGACGTGAGTCCCAATACCGAAATTTCACCATGGTCAAAGTTTATTTAACTCACCTCACTTATCCCAAAGTCTTGGAACCAATGGCATAGTTACTCGAACCCAAATGAGGTGGAATTATACTTGAAACTTTCAAGTTGAAAGGTTTAATTATTAGGAAATTAATAGGAAATTACTGAAGGTAAGTGTAAATTAGTTCTGAAAGGAGTATGTGAGAAAGTGAATGAAAATTTAATATGAAAGAATATAGCCGTATAGACTTCACATACTGAAATATGCTGAAATAAATGAAAACTAACAATGAAAAGATATAATTTGCGATATTTTTATGTCTCATGTTTATTTAAAACGATTTGCAATCACACCTGTTTAAATTGACAAAATGTCGGTCACGGCTGACTTTTCGCATCAAAATCAAGATTAAAATGATCACCAAATAATAATATAAATCAGAGTGAGATATATTAGATCATTTATGAGTCGATTTCTTTGGAACTCTCATAAAAATGTATAAAATTTGTATCACTTTCTGTTTTCTATCAAGCTTTGTCGTAAGTATTGTAGTATTAACTTTTGTTCTAACATCTCATTAAAACCTGCCCGTTTTTCTAATAAATTAAGGCCAGCATTGAAATAATACCAATTTCATCGGATGTATGGAATCACACCTACTCTCCGCATTGGGATGTTGAGACACAAAGTCTTCATTTTGTGGATTTCTTAAGTGAAAATCGAGTACTAAACCGATATGATATGTGTGAAAATCGAATATATTCGGCAACAATTGAAACCAATCAAGTGCCTGCTTTTATGATTCCACTTAAAAGGCGACCGTTTCAATTTGCTGGCGGCATCGACCGTTCTGTAAAAGTTATAAATTGGGATGGAAGAGATTCGGTTGCAACGATATCCAAAAACTTATTCAGAGTTGAACAATCATCAAAATATGACGGCAATTTTTGGAGCGTTTCCAAAGCTTCACCGTCATCCAGATTCTATGGTGGCACATATCGCAGTGTGATTTGTAGTCTATCATCGACGGCGAACGCTTCATTGTATCGCTATAGCAAGAATATTGGCGTTGGTCGTCTTGTGAAGAATTTAAAAGTTTCAGGTGGAATCGATTGGAATGTAAAAGAGAGGAAGTTCTATCATGTTGATTCTTGCAACGGCATTATTCGAGAGTTTGACTATGACCCGAAAACTATGAATATCTGTAAATTGAAAAAAAAAACATGAGAAAATACAAATGTATGTGGTAAATTTTCTGAATAATCTACAGGTAATGAACGAATTGTTTTTAAATTTCGTGATATTGATGGTGATAGAGTGCCGTCGTACATTCCACTTGGGTTGACAATTGATACGAAAGGCTGTTTATGGGTTGCTTTATATTTTGGTGGAGCAATTTTGAAAATTGATCCAAAGTATGTTTGTTTCTTTCCTATCTTATCAAACACAATAAACCAGTTTTGTCGATTGCAGGAAATCAAAAGTTATGAGGAAAATTGAATTACCCACAGAAATTGTGACTGGAGTCGCATTCGGTGGTAGAAATCTTGACATATTATTTGCGACAACGGGAAGTAAAGCATTCAGTCTATCGTCAGGTGAAATTTCAAAGACACCATTTTCACCCGGTAGTGGTCACGTCTATATGATTAAAGGCCTCGGTGCCAAAGGCTTCCCAGGAAGAGAAATGTGTATTTAATTTGGAGGAAATATTACGATTTTTTTGTAGTAATCATTGCACGTACACAAATAAACTTTTAATTTTGTATTGTATACATCTCCGCGTATGTTCACATTTAAACCATTTGAAAAAAGACTAAACATTAACATTTATACGTTAATTTAGTGATTCATTATATTCGTTTCACTTGCGTTTCTTTGTGTATCATTTACAGATAAAGCTTCTTGAAGACAAGTACCTTGCATGATTGGTTAAAAAAAAACAATAGAAATTTCTATTTAACGTATGACAATAGGATAAGACTATTTATGTGCCATCTAAATACTGATATGTCTGAATTTATCTGAAGGCGTAAAATGGCAAAAAAATATATTTACCTTATTTGGTATATAAATCGCAAAATCAGCAAGTGCAAATACAATTTCGATTTCATCCAATCAAAAAGCACTCGAAATGAGTATAAATTTGCTGCAAATGCAAAAATAAAGTCATAGCTGCTGATAAAGGTAATTATACATTTTTTAGTGAGTACACGCAATACAGTGAATCTAATATTTTTGGTAGACAAAATTTTGCATGACACACTCCACTCACACGCCAGATTCACTGTAGACGTTTTTGGTTTCATCGCCCGAAAAAATTAATTATTATTTTGTTTCTCTGCGAGAGAAAGAGAAATATGCGTTCTTTTGCTAAGGAAGCCTAATCTCACCACTTTTCTCACACTGTTTAGGTTTCGAACCAGAAATGGTCAAATATCTCATTGAACATGGAGGCAATGTGAACGCTGAAGATTAACTTTGAAGAACGCTAATGCACGGTGCTGCTTTGAAGGGTAATTCAACATTTTTTTTATCAAGAAGAAATATTTTTGATGAAGTCTAATCTTGTTCAAATTCAACGATAATCTTGTCAAAAACTAGGTCGCACAGGACTCCTGTGACAGGAGTCACAAAATTCTGTTCGAAAATGGGACAAATATAAATGCTGAGGATCAATATAATCACACGCCACTAGAGGTGCCCACTGAACTGAACCGTTCATGTTCGTTCGGTTCATTCGAATTTGAACCGAATATGAACGGCATGTTTACATATTTTGAACAATTTGAACTAAACGCGAATGAACATGAACAGATTTTTTTTATTTCGAACGAACCTGAACAAACGAGAACTGTTCAGTTGAATTCTCGAGACGCCACTTTACTATGTCATTAAAAATGGTAATTGTGCATATTTCTAAATTAAAAAAATAATAATAAAAAAAAATTTGGAAAATGATATTTTCAATGGACTCTAATTGCTGTATATGATTTGCAGGTCACAAAGAGGCATTAAAATATCTTACTGAACATGGAGCAGAAATTTCTGCATTATAACATCATTTCTGTGTGTAGCAACATTGTACAATTGTACATGGACATGTAAAACCTAGTGTAAACCTTTTAAAGTTCTGTAAATTCATGTTTATCGTAGTTTTTTTTTAAAGAGCCCTATGTAGCTTCTCACCATGTTACAGTATTGAAATAAAAATGAAATTATTCTCAAGATTGTTGAATGTATGATTTTATTTTTTAAAATACGCCACAAATAAAAGAGTAAGCTTAAAAATATTCTATGAAGAGTTAATGACAACTCTTCCATTTTAATTTTGAAAAAATAGTTAGTCAAATATGGTGAATCAGCGTGCTATATGCAAAGCAACTGTTACAAAAGTAATTTTTAATTAAATTGCCGCTAAAAGAAAACGCATTTCAGAACTCAAAGTACTCTGGAAGCATGAAATCATGAACAGTTTTTTGTATATAAATCCAAAATATCTCGAACACGTATCACAATGGCGTTCACACGATTGCCGTTCTACACCTGAGAATAAACTTTGAATAACACGAGTGACATGATTGCACGTTTTCGTGACATCTATATAAATAGATCGCAAGAATTTCTTTTAATTACTTTGATATATATTATTATATATATTACGCTTGTGAAAGTATATAAAAACCTAGAACAGTACCAGTACTGGATTGTCAATCATTATCAACTATTAGTAGTATCAAGATTATTCTAAGATGGCTCGTACTAAGACTACTTTGTTTGTAATTTGTGTAATAATTTTTCACTTTGCAATTTTTTCGACTGTCGAGTGTCAAGGTTTTGGTTCATATAAGGCAATAGAAAAAGGCACACCGGAATTCGACAAACTGGAAGAGGCGGCTGTAAATGCAAGAGGTCTAAAAAGTGCTGAAGGAGGCAGTGGTCTGGATGAAGGAGCAAGAATAAAACAAGTGGAAAAGGCACAACAGCAGGTCGTGGCTGGTACAAATTATATATTCTCTGCCATCGTTCAAAATGGTAAACAAAGTCAAGAGTGTTGCTTCAAATCATTCAAAAGTCTCAAAGATAAATTCGAGATCAATTGTGTCGACTGCAACTGCACTTACCCTAAGTCCGTGTGCGCTTAAATTACTAAATTATTTTCAATCATTCATAGATTGATGCATTGAAAGCAACACGACAATTGCACTGAAAATAATTTATAAGAAATAAATAAATTCAATGTACTCAGTGCAGTTATACATATCATTGTTTTATTTAAGTTGACATTGTTCCCGGGTTAGTTTGAGTATTGCCATGTATATTTGTATATTTTTTCACACATTGTGAGATGTGATCAGTTTATATATTTTGGATGGATATTTATCCGAGATATTTTGGAGTATCGGGATATTTAACGCGACTACACAGAGTCAGAATTGTGTGGTATATTTTATGGTAGTAGAAGAAGGCCATGCATTTTTTTAATGTTCAGGTTTATAATCCTTTCTGGTTGCATGGCATTTTCTTGATTTCTTCTACTCGCTGATCGATGTTCCACCAGAACTTGAACTCTTCATAATCTGGATTATTTCCGACCACCAAAGCACTCATGCTATGCAATTCAGCAAATGGCAATTTATTCAATGGGTCCGAACCGACGGTTGGAAAATGGTCGAATGATGCCGTTTCCGAAACTGGATTTCTTCATTAAAAAAACCATTCCTAGTTTAGTAGCTCAAACATCGAAATCAATTATATATTGCTTACCCAGTAATTGCAAAACTCGTTAAGATTTCTCTCAATATTTCGCTTGCTTTCACCGTTGATTTTTGTAAAAGAGTTTCTTGAGGTGCTACTTCATCATAAATATGCGATTTTACTTTGCACCTGTGCGAAAATTTTATAAATTTTTATGTTCGATTTAATTTAGCTTAAGAGTTAAATGTTACCAAAAATAACTACAAAGGTCATCAGCATGAGCGGTACCGCCAAGTGCATCAACTGCAGCAGAAATATTTTGATGATTATTCAATGCTGTTTTCTGACTCACTCTGTGGAAAAAAAGAGAATTATTATCGAAACTAATGTTTTTTGCAAAAGTACAAATGGGCCAAACCTTAGTAATCTTATGTCAACAGTAGAATTGGAAAGCGCTTGAATGGCAATTTCTTTTTGAATGGAGTACACAAAATTTACAGAGCTTCTTAATTGAATGTACGGTCGAATTTGTGCATCGATTGGATGCTTTCCAAAATAGAATCGCCGAATGTCAGTGAAAAGTGGAGCAATTTCTTCCTTACATGACATTTGATCAATGCCAATAAATGGTAGCTCGAATGTGAAATTTTTATTCAAATAGCTGATTCGATTTGGATCGGTAATAATATCAATTGAATGTTTGATTGATTCCTAAATAAAAAAGAGTTTGAAATTGAAAAAAAAATCTGATCACATTTCACGGCAGGCATTACCATTGACGTGTGGGAGTAAATAGTCGAAATATTCACACCTTGCGCTAGCAGTACTTTGGGGTCTTCGGTTATAAAGGGATTTACGGCATTTTCAACTGCAATGAATTAAAAGCAATTTGGGTTCTAAAGCATTATTATCGAAAACTTGAATAAATTGATCACTAACGTTCGATACACGGAATCCATTCAATGTAAAGTGTTATATTTTTTCCTTTAAAACCATATCGAGACGTTTGTTTCAAAAAGTATTTTCCATCAACTGCTTGAATATATTTCACCAGTTGGTCGATATTTTCAATGTTTACACCTTCATGTCTGGCCACATTCACAATCAAATCAGTTTTGTTGATGGGTTCTGACAGAGCAGCAAAGCTTAATGCGGAATAGCTCATTATATATGCTTGTTTAAATAAACTCCTTGATTTTGGATTCAATCTGTGAAGACTAACCGATGCCGCACCAGCACTGTGCCCCCAAAGTGTAATTTGCTTTGGATTTCCACCAAATGCTGAAATATGGCTATTTACCCATTCCAATGCTAACTGTTGATCTTTCAATCCCATATTTCCTGAGTATTCATTTAATGCCAATGGCATAAAACCAAACACACCGAGTCGATAATTAAACGTAACGAGAATTATGCATTTATTTAGCATCAGGTGGGGACCTGATAAAGAATCAACAGCAGATCCAATCAGAAAACCTCCACCGTGAATGTAAACAATTACAGCAATATTATTCGAAGTAGTACAAATTGAAGGGCTTGGGACGAATACATTGAGGAAGAGACAATCTTCTGATGAGCCATGAGCCGTGGCTGAGGGCTGTAGACATGCTGCCCCGTATTCCAAAGCATTATACGTTCCATTCCATCGTTTTGTTGGCACAGGTGCCTATCCAAATTGAATATTGTTACAAAAATTATAAATATTGGGTGTATAAATTAATTTTGATCGCTGACAATTAGATGTCGCCACTTAAACTTGTATGAAGTTTGACAGTTGAATCCAATTGCATTTTGTACATGTGACATTTGCCTATCTAATTCAGAGCAGAAAGATTTATTTTTGACACAGTGTCATTATTTTCTGATCGATTCAAAATGAGCGATGAAAAAGTGTTTTTCTGTCTGGTCTCCTTTGGTTCAATTTTTTCACTTTGAATAAAGTGAAAATACATCTAAAGGTTATAAAATGTTGCAGGAGACGAGACCTCTCATTCGCCACAGAGAATATTGAATTTGGTGAAAAAGAAGTGGTGAATTTGTTGAAAAACTGTGAACTCACCAAAAAAAATTGAATGATGGGCTGTTGGCATTTTAAATTCGATAAAGATGCATGAAAATGCATCAGAAAACATCAGAAGCATTAAATATATGCGAATCAATCCTTTTAAGACTTCTATAATGAGGTAAGACCAAAGGAATTTTGTGCCATACCAGTTGAATCCAAAACTAGTTGTAAGACGTTTTTCACATTTTGGCACAATGTTCCAAAAATAGGAGAGAAAGGAATTTTTGTATCGTGTTGTAACTGGAAGTGAAGAGGGCATCTGCTACGATAACCTCAGGCATAAAAATAAGCGTTCAATCCCACACAATCATCAAAATCGATTGCATAGCAGGATTTTGATGATTTCTCGGTAATGCTCATTATTTGGTGGGATTAAAGTGGTGTGGTGTATAATGAGCTGCTGAAACCGGGTGAAACTGTCACGGGGGATCGGTATCGACTACAACCAATACGTTTGAGCAGATTACTGAGAGAAAAATTGAGAAAAACTGCGACAAGAAATAGTCGAAGGATTTATCAAAATTTGACATATTTCAAACATCGCAAAAAAAAAAGATAGGGGACTCTGGTCGGGGTGAGCTTGATCACCCCCCGTACTCTCCAGACCTTGCCCCTTCTGACTACCACTTGTTTCGATCAATGCAAATGGGCTTGTCTGAGATATCGTTTCGAAATTCTGAAGGAGTGCGAAAATGGGTCGATCAATGGATAGCTGGAAAAGATGAGGAATTCTTTCGACGCGGAATCGACAAGCTGCCAAGAAGATGAGCCGAAGTCATAGCTAACTATGGGCAGTACATTGGTTAATGTACTCATTCTTATTATTTTTAAATAAATGTTTCCTTTCACCAAAAAAACGATCAAAATTAATTTATACACCCAATATTTATAATAGGATGTCTTTTGACAAACCTTGAATCGAAGTTGACCAACTGGTGCTTCAGCGTATCGAATGCCTCGATAAGAGCAAAAGGTACCATTCCCAAGTACAGTTTGATGTCGCATACCAGCTATTCGTCCAAG